AAAAAAAAAACCCCAACAAATCTAGGCAGTTATTAGTATATCACGTAACAAAACACTTTCTGGCCCGATGAGCCCAAAAATTTGCAGATAAGAATTGTTCAGCATGACAAAAATTCCTGGTTTCAACACACTTTCTGGAAAAGCAGTCTTCAATGTGCGGACTTGGGGTCTCCATCTCTCCAGTAGTTTCTGTGGGCCTCCTGGAACATGTCCTTGCATGCGATTTTAGCTTTGAGTTTCGAGCAAATGAGAAAGGAGCCGCCCATTTTTCTGTGGAGGGAGTAGGTTTCCTCTGGCGGTGGCGTGAGACGCTCTTTCAGCATCACTGGGATGAGGTTGTGGATGCGCTCAGTTGTGCTCTGCATTCCAAAGTCAAAGGGCTTTTCTGAGTTGAAGGCCTCCCCGAGGATCATCACCGCATCCACGTGGGCGTTCTCCATCGCCTTAATGCAGAAGACAAGAAAAATGATCAAGAGGCTTTCAAGTAAAAGTCCAGCATGTACAGAAACCTGCTCCTCTGCTTTTAGACGAAGAGATCAATATTAGTTTTATTTGTGTTGAATAGGACGCTGCACCCAGCAGCTTGCAACAGAGACTGGAAACAAGCTGAAATAATCCCCTCCATCAGCACTTCTAAAGCTAACATTTCATTCATCGTTGGTCACATATTTATTTTGCAGGAGGACATGCAGCCCAAACACAAAGCCAGACTCAATAAAAAAATATTTCCTCTACCACAAGAGCTGCAAATGTGATTAAAGACACACAGGCCTGCTCTCAGCCTCAGGGAATAACTGTGGAGTTATGTGAAGAGAGACTGAACAACACTGGAACACACTAAACCCACACAAGAACTGTAGTAAGACAAGAGAGCAATGTGATCTTCAGGCACCATATAATAAAGAGAACAAAAATAAATAAATAAATTGTCTACAGTATATACTCTAAGTCATTTTTACTATCATCTCATAACAGTTCCTTTATAATAAAAACCAAGATAGCGAGACTGTTCACAAAATATTAGTGCTGTTGTAGTTCCTGTTGGGTGCCACTAGAGGTCGCTAAAGAACACCTAGTAAATACTTTGAGTGACTGAATATTTCAAAACATTTTCAATAAAAATGTGGTGCATTTCAGAAGCTCCTCTCAATCTTACTTTGAACACAGTAAAATTGCTGTTTGACTGCATGAACCTTTCATGTCTTTCACGCTACATTCAAAAATACAACAACAGACAAATCATAAACATAAACTCACAGCCACTGTTGAACTGAATCACAGTGTGGTGCGGTTCATTAGTAAAATTTACAATGTCCGTTTCTCACCTTTGACTCGTATCCTGTGAGGAACTTCATTTCTCTGGATTTCAGTAGGACACCTTCTCTGTCCTGATCTGCAGCCGCTTTTATAATCTGAGTGAGAGAAATCGCACCAGACGGTTTCACATGTCGAAAAGATATTTCTCAACTGAAACTTATTAAAATTCTTGTCTGCACAACAATAAAGCACATCATCTGTCTTAACCTGTGTAGTTGACAGATATTCTCACACCAAAATGACAAAAACAGAGTAACTTGAAAAGGACTGCAGTCCCCCCATGATTCAACAGCTTGTAGAACCACCTTTAGCAGCATCAACCTGAAGAACTCGTTTTCTGCACGGCTTTATGAGTCTCTCACAACATTGTGGAGGACTTTGGCCCACTCTTCTTTATAGTGTTGCTTCAGTTCAGTTTCTGGGACCACAGCATTTCAATCAGCTTGAGATCTGGACATTGGGCTTTTGCAGCACCTCGATTCTTCTCTTTTTTC